TTTCACTGTGGCTATGCGACAGGCTGCCCCTGCAACTCACAGTGGGAACGAAGCTGTACCAGCGGAACCTACAAGTACTGCGTCCCAATCTCCGAGAGTTGCCTCTTGAATGAAAGGACCTGGGCCCGACTTGAAGTACGCCCCGAAAACGGGACATGAGTGACATGACCCGAAATAGAACAGCTGCGACTCTACCCAATTTGGTGAAGTACTCTGAGACTCCAGTTTGCATCAAACACTGTGGTGTTTTTGGGGGGCATAGGACGGACGGAGCGAGTCTGAGCCGGTCCAATGGCACCGAATGGCACCGTATGTGTTGCTGATGTTTTCAGATTCGGATCAACCAAAACCAAGAGAGGAACGACACTAGGATCGGAAACCACCCACAAACATGAAATAATGTCAGCTGGGATGACACCTGATGATTGATTGAATATTATGATACATTATCATACTCATATTGTTTGGGGGTGTCCTATTATCTGCAACAGTCAGTAGACAATTATATAACTAATTTAGAACAAGGCCTCTACTAACCATCATCGTCCACTGTTACCGGGAATAGGATACACGCAACATATTGTTGCGTAGCGTTACTTCTCCCAAACGTGTGGATATTTGTTGCATGTAATCTCTATTTGCTAGCCCTGGTCCCTCTATTCTGCGTAATCTGGGATGTGCGCTTAAGAACCTATGACGGTCTCTTGTAGACTCAAGAAAGCTATGACCAATAGCGTTTTCAGGTGTTTGTATTCACTCCAATTGGACCAAAGAACCAGTGGAACAGACCTACTTTCATTGGTCATGTTGGAATAAAGTCGGACTTGAAAAGGATTGTTGGGTGCTCTGAGGATCGATCCATAGGGGGGACAACCTGTTTTCCAAGCAAACCACGTGGAGCACCTGTTTTCGTGGCACGTTGGGCAGGGCCGTTGAGCACCGAAATCCGGAACCCTCGATTTGATCGAGGCCCAGTGGATTGCGGCGACAAGGGTTATTGCTGGCATTGGTCTGGCCACTTGGTGTAAGAAGTATTTGTTTTTTTGATGGATTTGGCTCAAGATTCGGATCATATTGAACCCCTCTCAAGCAACACCGGAGGTTTGTTGACCAAAACAACCAGAGAGTGAGCAACCGGTAATGATCGTCTACTGGGGTTCTCACAGTTGAGTGTTTATCCATATGGTTGACCTAACTTGAGGATGACCGTGCTTGAAACTTTATGGTACCAACAAGCAGCAAGCATATGCAACCTCAAAGGTGTATGGACGTTGAGGGCCAATACGAAGGAGATGCATCTGACCATCAGTATCCATCAGCCCAAATGACATGGGACACGGGTGCTGATTTGGTTTTAGAAAGTGTGCGCTTCTCCCTATGGAAGCCGGAAAGAGCTATATAAATGATCTGATAATACTCTTTTGCATCTCTTTGCTGTGTGCTGTGTGCTAGGCGGCTGAACATGGCTGGGCTGCTGGTTGCCATCCAATTCCGGGATGCGGGTGATGACAAACATGTCAAAACCAAAGGCAAACCATCGCATGTCCGGTCTGTGGGTGACCAAGCCATCGAATTCATTCCTCAGATGGTTTGCTGCAGCGAAAGATTGTCAGCTTTTTGCACCCAAACATGCGAAACCTGCAACCCCTTCCTGCAGCCCCTCCCCCTCTTCACTCAAGGCAACGAAACCTGCGAGACGGACACGGGATGTGTGTGCGAGTCCAACGAGCTCTCGTGCCCGAATCCGGACCGGCTTCGACCGGCTTCGACCGGCTTCGACCGGCTTCGACTTCGCGTCGCAGGGGGGTTTTCCAAGACTTCAGGTTTGCGTCGCGTTTGGTGGTTTCTAAGGGGTCTAGCCGGTGGTCTCTAAGAAACATAGCAAGTGTAAAGATCTTTGGTGGATTCCGGTGGTCTCTAATAAAATCTGTAAACTAAGGTCTGTCTTTGCAAGTGGTCTCTAATGAACTTCTGCGCTAACTGTATTAGTTTGCGAGTAAGGCTTTGAGCGAGATTCCAGTGAATTCCAAGTGGACTCCCCACCCAGTTTGTTGGGATACTAGGATTCTTGCCATGGCTGGAGGGGACTGGTCTTCTGACATAGGAACCTAATGGAACCTACATATGGTTTTGGAAGATATGGACTTCCCAACTTCAGTAGGATACCGGTGCTCTTTGGCGACCTGTTCCCATCTTTGGCGCTAGTGGGTCCAAAGGGTGATGAACATGTATCTTAAAACCCTTCACGCACTTGTGGCCTCGTGGGTCATGTATGATGTAGTGGATGCGTGGGTTAAGGGATGTGCGTACGACGACATGTGACCCTCAATCTTCCTCAGTGCTGGACTGCTGGATGTGGTGGATTTAATGTCATCATCCGGGGATATTAGCAAAATTCAAGACGGTCTTGCAGGGCTTGTGTTGGTTCACTTGTTGTTTTCAGGTTCATCAAACTCCATCTGCAATTTACAAGACATTATGAGATCGACTTTTCGAGAAGACCCACAAATATCCACAAATCATTATAATGTGCTTCTTTCTAAATCATAACCCCCACTTCTTTCTGATCAGTGACAAACTGGTCAGTTCAACCGTTTCTCTAGAAGAACCCCAACACCTCAACACTTGGAAGAATCCACCTTATCAACCACTACCCAGTCACGGAGAGCACACTCAAAGTCACCAATTTGGATTCATAGCTATAGGCTATATTGTAAGGGCTTCGCCCGGGTGCCGCCGACCCCTTTTCAAGAGGAGTGTAGCATGTGTAACTGAAGGCGTTAGTGTCGTTCCGGTGGTTGCCCGTCTGCGGAAAGAAGATGGGTGTTCTAGCCTTAGGCGTGGCCTCGGACAGGCTAACTGTGGCCTGTGCTAAAGCCCACAAAGGTGGAGATGCCAATGCCAATAAGGTTGCACTCTGCGAGGCGCCGAGAAGCGTCTGAGGGGGGCCGTCGCCTTCGGAAGCCTAGAAAAGAAGAGGCTGGCCTCGGCTGCTAGCACCGTACGTGGCAGCCCAGGCCATGCCAAGGCTGCGTGGCCTCGGACAGGCTAGCTGTGGCCT